CTCCTGTTCCCTGCTCGGCTCGGCTCGGCTCGTGTGCGGATGCGCGTACTCCATGCTCCTTGCGACCAGTCAAGCGAGAGCAGAGCAGAGCAGAGCAGAGCAGAGCAGAGCCTCGGAAGGACACACGCTAGGTCATTCGTCCAACGCTGCTGCTCTGCTCTGCTCTTGTAGGACAATCAATAGCTCCTTTTGCTTTGCTTCGCTCCGGTCCGCTTCCTTCGGCACAGGAGACAAGCAGCGCGCTACACTGCTTCACGTTTCACACGTTTCAGGTATTCCACCACGATTGCTTGCCTGCCCTCGAACCTTTATCCACCCACGATTATGAGGCGTACGCGCACGACATCTCGTGCGTGCCTTCACTTTCATTCTGTAAAATAAATCACTCCGCAGGCTTCTGCATCCCCCATGTTTGCAAAAGCTTTACCATTACTATGATGGGGCGCGCGCGCGGGGAATGGCAATGGGCATGGCGAACGCAAAACACTGCGAAAAAAGCGCACAAAGGAAAGTCCATAGAGCAGGCCCTTTCCGCCCCACACATCACTTGCGATGCGATGCGCGCGCGCGCGCAAACGCATCGATCGAAACATCCGCATCATCCGATCACGCATCACCTCTGACCTCTTCTCAGTATATTCCTCCTCACCCTTCTCTCGCCCCTTCCCACCGTGCCAATCCCACGCATCGCGTCATCCCACTGCAAATAAGGCACATCCTGCAGCCGTACATCCGCCAAAGTGTCTAGCTTCTGCCGCTCCTGCTCCTGCTGCCGCTCCTGCAAATCGTGTCGTGCTCGTCGACTTTCTTCAGCTTGCGCGACGACGGCAGCATGCTTGGAAGGGCGATTTCGAGTTTGGGTGCCAAGAGAGATTGCTCGAACGTGTTGATGGTCCAAAGAGGCCCAAATGGGCAGTCGAATATTTCCCTTGATCAGAGCTAGACCTCGGCGCAAAGAGCGGCAGCAGCAGCAGCAGCAGCGCTGCTCTCTTTCCGCCTCAGCCTCCGCCTCCGCCTCCCCGCGCCGCATTCTCCCCTCTTCCTCCTCCTTCCCCTCCAAGCTCTTTGCTGCGTCTGCTGATAAAGTCGTCGGCGACGGGTGTTCAGGAGGAGGAGAAGGATGATGATGATGGTGGTGCAATGCTAGACTTATTTCTTGAGGCGAAAGGGAATGGATCAAGCTGAGCTTGCCGCTCAAAGGATCTATGGAGCGCACGATGGCCATGCCCAAGTAAGCGCAGCGCGATATGCGAGGCAAAGTCTTGCTGAGCGCTTCTCTCCACACTTGCGTAGCAGGTGCCGCTGGCGCTGCTGCTTGTGCGCCTTCAAGCTCATACGCACCCTCCCGATGCGCCCCTCTGCCCTCCTTTTCTTCTCCAGCAGACAAATCCGAAGGGCAAGGCTGGTCAGGCTCCAGCGGCGGCGGCGGCGGCGGCGGCGGCAAGTCGACAACGACGATGGCCACCAGCGCGCCGTTGAGCGCAGCAAGTTTGAGCTGGTCAGGCACGCTCCCTGCTGCGAAATCCAAAACGTGCAAGCCGGCCTGCAGTCCTTGCTGCACGTGCACTTCGCTAGGTCTCTTTGCCAGCAAGCTCGTCGCAAAATCCCAAGCAGGTCGTCGTGCGCGCCTGTCAGGCAAACGCGATAGGTGTGCATCGGTCAAAGTCGCATCATCATTCGCCCCAGCAGGCTCTTCAGCTTGCCTTTGACTTTGGCCTTGAGCAGCCGCTTCTGCTGCTGCTGCTGCTGCTGCTGCTGCTGCTG